TTTTACCCCACAGTATACTTTTTTGAGGTATGTTGAGGGAGGCCCGCAAAGCCATCTTTTGTGGGGAAACGTTTGCAGCTGTAGAGAAGCTCCGTTGGCACAGCCAGGTCTACCCCCTCCTGGACCTTCTCAGATGCGCGAGTGATCAAGCGAGAGTCTGGCGCCTTTAAAGTCTGAGTAAGAGACGTTTGCCATCTGTGATGCTTCATCTACACTATACGAAGCTTGGCTCCTCAACCCCCTTATCTTAGACCATTCCTTTCTGCTAAGTTCAAGCCTTTAGAAAATAGCTTGACTCAACAAATTTCCAGCTAATGGATCCCTAAACTCTACCTCTAACTTGTAAGCCTGCACTTCAAGGGGTCCCACCTTTTGAGCTGAACCAATATAAACCTCACATATGTCAGTTTATATCCTTGTCTGCAAACTTTTGTCTCCCTAAGATGGATAAAAGCAAGCTGTAACCCAACCACCTAGGGCACATGTTCTCAGGACCTCTTGGGATTGTGTCTTGGGCCATGGTCATATATATTTGGCTCCAAATAACCCCCTTGAAGTATTTTAGAGAAGTTGGCTTTTTGTCACTAGGGCTATGTCTCCCAAGGGCTCCAGACTGCGTGCCTCTCTGTCGCATTGCCCAAACAGATTTTGAAGACGATGTGGAACCTGATCTTCCCCCAACTACTCGATATGTTCTGGCACTTCTTTCTATGACTCATTAAATACTACAGCTTTAAGTAAACTATATGTTAGGTTTTGTTATGAGTTAGGGTACTGTATAAGTTTATTCTGGAGAGCAGGTATATAGATTTTTATATGTGTTTGTGTGTGTATGATGCATCTATTTCTTTAAAACAGAATCCACAGAACAAGCAGATTGACTAGTTGAGAATAGTTTGAGGTTGTGTTCTTCTCTTAGCCTTGTGATGTGCGGTGAGTTTGGATTGCCTGTTGCGAGTTCGTGTTTCTCTGAGACACATTCATTAATGTCCAAGGGCCATGTCTTTCTACTCCCGAGACCCCAGGGCCCAGCGTGGTGATTTACACCTAGCAAATGGGTGATCAATGATGGAGGAGACTGAAATTCCACCTGCAGATAAATACATATTTCAAAGTTAGTATTTCTTAACCTTCCATTGAGCTCTGTTTACCAGAGGGGAATTCAGTGAACTCTTGTCTTCTTGTTATTTTATCTTCAGTAATGCCCGGCTAATTTATTAAATACTGTTTCTTGTGTAAACCTTGTTTTGAAAATTTCACTAATGAAGTAGTACTAGTGGAAAACAATTAAAACAAACTTTATATTTTATATGACTAAACTTCCTGATCAAAACATTTATTAAGATTAAAAATTTTTTTTAATTGTTTTGTTTGAGTCATGGTCTCACTGTCACCTAGGCTGGCAGTTGCACATTCACAGCCACCACAGCCTCAACCTGCTGGGCTCCGGCGATCCTTCCACCTCAGCCTTCCAAGTAGATGGAACTAAAGGTGTGCACCACCGCACCTGGTAATTTTTTGATTTATTGTAGAGACGAGGTCTTGCCAAATTACTCAGGTTTTGCCAAATTGTCTGGAACCCCTGGGCTCAGGCAGTCCTCTCACTTCTGCCTCCTGAAGTGCTGGGATGACAGGCATGAGCCACCATGTCTGGCTTTATTCATTGAGTTCTTAAGGAAGCTTTTTGGCAGATGTTCAGAAACACAGTAGATAAACAAACAAAAGCAGGTACTTGATGTGACCTTGCCTAAATGATAGATATTTAACCTAGGTTTTATTTGTCAAAATTTAACGATAAATGAGTATAAAACCTCCAATTTTTTCCTATGCAAATTTTACTTCTAGCTGTTTCCCAAGCAGTGTTTCACAAACTCTAATGATACACTATTATTATACTAAAAACCAAAAACCACTTTCTTACCAATAATTTTCAAGTTAAACTTTCCTTGGAGTTTTGTCATTGGCAAGTCCAGATAATATGGCCGCAGTGAAGTAGACGTGTGCGTTTCGCCTCCACAGACACAGGGCTCGGAGAGGAGCAGGTGGTGTGTTAGGTCAGGAGTGAGCAGTGAGCGTGGAAGGCTCGCCCGTCCTCTTCAGGTTGTCTAATGCAGTGCTCTCACGGGGCCTCTAAGTGGAGATCTTCTGTGCCACCTCTTAGCCTTTTCCAAACAGTCAGACTCTCGAGCGAACGCCTCCGGTTTCCTCAGCCTGCCACTCAGACATTGTCCGTAGTCTGCTCCTCTTTGACTCGCTCATGACTTCATAGTTGAGACCAGTGAACCTTTTTCCCACCATGTGCTTGCACTCAGTGTTTGCTGTTGCTGAATATGGAATTCTGACTCCCCTTTGGTGCTCAGGAAGTTTTCTACCGTCAATGCCTCTCGTCTGGAGCTGTACCTCTTTCCTGACTCAGTTCAGAGTCTGTCTTCTTTGAAAACTGTCTACTTTAGTGTTCTCCAGATTTCCGAAACCGCCACTGTTTGCTTCCCGTGGCTCTCCCTGCTTTTCTGTCCTGCATAGTAGAGGGATGTGATCTAACTACTGCTTTTGCGCCTGGATGGCAGGGGGTGGAGGGTATGAGTGAAGTGTATGAATAGCTCAAAACAAAAACTTAGGCTAATTCTGATTTGCTTTGTATCATTACACACTTTCACTTTCGGGATTGTGAAAACACAGAGTTCTACTACCTTTGTGTCTATCACTGAGCTTTTGTTGTAAGCTTTTGTTGTTTTGCTTTTTTGTTTTTTGGGTCTGTCTCATTCCTGTCACCCAGGCTGGAGCACAGCAGCACAGTCATGGCTACTGCAGCCTCAACCTGTTGGGGTCAGGCAATATTTCTGCCTCAGCCTTCCAGGTAGCTGTAACTACAGCATTGTGCCGCCATGCCTGGCTAATTCTTCTGATTTATTGTAGAGACAGGGTCTCGCCATGTTGCCCAGCTGGTCTCAAACTCCAGGGCTCGCAGTCCTCTTACCTCAGCCTCCCAAAGTACTGGGATTATAGGTATGAGCCACCGTGCCCTGCTTGTAAGTTTTTATTTAGAAACATCTTCCCACTTGAAAGAGTCATCATGCAGGATTTGAAAACACTGTTACTTGAAGTGTTAAGTCAAAAGGTCAGCCCTCAAAAGCTTATTTTCCAGAACATACCAGAGGAGGATTGATGTTAACATTCTGTAAAATCCAGTCATGATGTACACTGTTTTATCTATGTGGGATTCGTTTGCAGTCTGTGTGTGTGTGTGTGTGTGTGTGTGTGTGTGTGTATGTGCATACCATGCGTGCACACACATGTGCATGTTTGCACGCACACACAAGTAGTGACGAGATGGTGGCACACAGTGGTAAGGGTCTCTCTTTCCTCTTACATGTGGGTAGAGCTATTTGTTGCAATGCAGTTTACTGTAATTACAGAAAAGGGAATGGTGTTCTAAAGAGAAAACATCCATTTGTGCTGCACCATAGTGGACAGAGGAGAGCTCCATGCTACAGAAAGAGTGAGGCAGGTCTATGTAGTATGTGAAGCGGTCTCCAGGAGAGAATCAGCAGAAAAGCCATGGTGCATAGCAGTAGACAGCTTCCATTTATGTGAGCAAAGGAGACCTGCACACACGTGTGCTTAGACACATTCATCTCGCTGGAATGACACATGAGAATCTGGTGCCTCTCAAGAAGAGAGCTGAGGTACTAGGGACTCAAGGCGGGAGGGAACTGGTTTTGCAACGCGTTTGCATCGGCGCCATTTCCATTTTTTAAAAAGCTGCATCCATAGTAATACTGCTTGTTGAATAATACCACCTTTCTTCAGTGTCTTGTGCTGCATTCAGAAATAGAAGAGCAGTGCCTTGAAATTAGCACAACGTCTCTTGTACCTCTCTTCCCTCATTCCCTACTGTTGCAAATAGTGACTGTGTCTGGTTTACAACTTGGGACAGCAAGAGGACAGTTCTGCATTCAGATCAGACCTGTGTCTACAGTTTCCTGGCTTGTATGATGTTGGATATGTACTGAACCTTTCTGAGCCCTAATTTTCTCATCTAGGCTATGGGAACGAATCATATACTATAGCTCAAATGGGTTGTAAGGATTAAATGAGAAAATGCACTTCATGAGCTGACATGTGATATGGGCATCTAATAGTTCTATAAGTAATAATTTTTATTTTAACTGGTAACTAAGGTACTTGTTCAAATGATAAAATTCCTGCTTTTTTAACTGCTGCAGTTGGAGCATTTTTAACAGTTCTAGTTCCCCTGGCATGCTGTAGTGGAACAATACCTAATTTTGAGGGCCTTTTTTGCCCTTAGAGTTTTTTTTTTTTTTTAAATGAAATAGCCTATGTTTCCTTTTTAATCCTGTAAGGTCTTTTAAATCAAAGTAATGTTCTTTGTCTTTCTACTTGTAAGTGAAATTTTACTAATTTCTTATAGTTTTTTTTTGTGTGTGGGTTAGTGTATTACTGTGTATTATATACTGAATATTACCTGTTATTTACTTAAGCAGGTACCTATCCAACAATGAGGCCACAGTTTTATTTTTATTTTTTATTTTTTTGAGCCCGAGTTTCACTCCGTTGCCCAGACTAGAGTGCAGCGGCCGCTCCCGGCCACCGCAGCCTCGACCTGCTGGGCTCCAGCGATCCTTCCCCCTTAGCCTTCCAAGTAGCTGGAATTACAGGCGCGCGCTACCATGCCTGGCTAATTTTTTGATTTATTGTAGAGATGAGGTCTCGCCAAGTTGCCCAGACGGGTCTCGAACCCGTGGGCTCAGGCAATCCACTCACCTCGGCCTCCCCAAAGCACGGGATTACAGGCTGAGTCACTGAGCCTGGCCGACGCCACAGTTTTAAACAGAAGACAGTAATGTGGACTCCAAGTCCAAACTTGGTGACAATGACCATATTAGAACCCCTTGTTATTGTAAATATATTATTCAGTTAATGGGTTTTGGGGGTAACGTTTCTGTTTTATTTTAAGCCATTTTATTCTTTTTCCAGCTCTTTCAATCTCACATGGCAATGAAAATGACTTGTATGTCCTCACAAGTATCTGATGATGAACAGAGAGTGAGTATATCTTTTAAATGCATTGCATATTGTTTGTTAAATGCTTCTCTGATTTCAAAATTACTACTCAGAGTACTCACAGGCTTTTGTGATAGAGGCTTCTATTTGTACTTACCTGGAATGAGAATTAACTTTTTTGTTGATTTAAGTGAAAAACAGACAATGGATTGAATCGTTGAGTGTCCAAAATATTCCTATTCTAGTTTACATTAAGCAAGTTTTTTTCCTCTTTCTTCAGTTGTTATATGATTTTTGGTTTTTTGTCTTTGACTTTATACAGATTAATACTCTGAGTGCTTCAACAACATTTAGTAGAAAGACTAGCACTGCTTTTGCCAGCACATTGCAGAATGTGGTGGGTGCATAAAATCACAGAGTGCAGGGACCGTGGACAGTCTGCTAGATGCCCTCCTGGGGTGAGCTTAGACCTGTTGCTTTCCAGCCGTCTGCATGTGCCTGTCTTGCAGGGACAGTTTTTGGTGATTCATATTAAATTTTATTTAAGGGGGGGTAAATTGAATTTGGTGAAAGAGATGAGTTTTTAATTTTAACAAAAGAGAGAATTGCAAATACAAATATGGGTAATTCAGTGAGACTGAATAATTTCCTTTCCTTCTGTGCCCCAGTAACTGGAGTCTCTCATTGCTTTTCCCTCTTCCAAGCTCTTCGTGGTTTTGATAAATCTTAAGTTGACTATCAAACTACTGTTCTTTTGACCTTTTTTCTCTTACTAGTATCAACAGTCTGTTCTATCTTCTCACAGAACTTTTAATTTACTCCTAATCTGCCTTCTAATTCATTGCTTTGCTGAGACGACTGTCAGAGTCACTAGTGATCTTTAGTGACTGATCCACTGGGTGGCTGTAACTTAGTCCTTTTTGTCTGTGCTAAATTGTGCCCACACCCTTGTTTTTGAAATGCTTCTTTTGTTCCTGTGACATTAAAATCATGTGGTTTTAGAACCAGAAGGGAACCTAGAGGCCATTTAGTTCAACTTTTATATAATAAACGTATGCTTATTGGACAGAAAATGGTAAGTGTTCTAACCTTAAACACTTTCATAACTAGGAAATGCCGTGCTTCTCCACTCTCTTTTTGAAAAAAAAACCCAAAAAACCATCAATATACCATGGTACGTGACGAGAGGGGATTCAACAGGCACAAAAGAGAATGTGGCATACAGCAAGTCCCCTACATGTGAACCTTCAGGCTGTGAACTTTCAAAGATGCAAACATGCACCTGCATGTCCAGTCATATTATTTGGTTCACACATCTGGCATGCATTGTCATGTGTGTGGAAGGTACCATACTGTAAGATTAAAAATGTTTTCTTAAGTCGGACGCAGTGGCTCACGCCTGTAATCCCAGCACTTTGGGAAGCCGAAGCAAGAGGATTGCTGGAACCCAGGGATTTGAGACCAACCTGGTAAACTTGGCGAGACCTCATCTCTACAATAAATCGAAAACAAAATTAGCTGGATATGGTCAAGGCAGCAATAGCTGTAAGTGTGCCACTGCACTCCAGCCTGGGCAGCAGAGTAAGACCCCAACTCAAAAAGAAAAGTTTCTTTTATTTTTGTGTTTGTTTTTTATGTATTATTTGTGTAAAAGGTATTATGTATTATTTGTGTAAAAAGTATTATAAACCTATTATAGTACAGTACCATATAGCTGAATGTGTTAATTGGGTACCTAGGCTAACTTTGTTAGACATACAAACAAATTGGACTAACATATACATTCTTGGAATGGAAGTCATTTGTATCTAGAGGGCTTACTGTGATTCTGTTGCAGCATAGCGAATTATCATACATTTAGCTGCTTAAAACAGCACCTGTTTATTAGCTCACAGTTCTATAGGTCAGAAAGTCAGGAGGCCCATCTGGCTTCTGTGCTCTGGTCCCATGCTCAAGGGGTCACCGGCTGGGTTCTCATCTGAAGGCTCTTCTCCCAGACTTTTTCAGGTTACCGGCAGAATTCACTTCCCTATTGGCTGGGGCTTGCTGTCAGCATCTAGAGGCCATTCTGTCCTAAAAATCAGCAGGGGAGAACTGGCATGCAGAGTACCCTCAGGCTTCGGATTTTTGACAACAAGTACCCTTTCAATGGCTTCCTTTGTTAGGTTGGGCCCTACGGGATCATCCCCCTTTCTAAGGTTGGCTGAATTGGGACCCTGATCACATCTATAGAATCTCTTCTCAGCAGCACCTAGGCTCGTGTTTGGTCGGATAACCAGGGGAAAGTATCTGTGCACCAGGGGCCATCAGTCTAGGGGCCATGTCAGAATTCTCCCACCACATGCAGTAAAAGGCTAGTTTTCCTTACCCAGCCTTCAAGTCCACTCCTTGCTGGTAACTGCTCTCGGTGGTAGTCTGTCAAAACCCTTTGAGACGTTTCCATTCATGTTCCTAATTATGTAAAAACATGAATATGTGTAAAATACATATATGTGGGTATATATTTTTCCTCAAATCACAGTAAAATATGTCACTGTTTGGATACCTATCTTTTGAGACTCATCCATGTTGTGACATGTATCAGTAGTTTAGTATTCCTTTGTGTAGACATACTAGTTTATCTCTTAACCATTTATTGCACGTTTTGGGTCGTTTCTAGTTTTTGATCATTGGGAATAAAACTGCCGTGCACATTTGTGCTTAAGTCCTTGTGTGGACATATGTTTTTAGTTATCTTGGGTACCTCCAAGTGGGATTTTTTTGGTCATAGAGTAATGCTTGTTTAACTTTACAAGAAACTGGCAAAGTGGCAGTTTTCCAAAGTGGCTGTATCATTTTGTGGTCACACTAGCAAATTTATCAGCATTCCACTTATTCCTCATTATCTTGAACACTTGACACTGTATTTTAGCTATTTATTGGGTATTCAGTGTCATCTTACAGTTTTAATTCACATTTTGTTGATAATTAATATTCTATATGTGCCATTTGTTTTTCACCTTCTTCCCTGCCTTGTGGCTTAATCAAGCATGTTTATGATTCCATGTTACCTCTGTTAGCTTACTAGCTATAACTCTTTGGTTTTTAAAATTTTTTAAAGCAGTCATCGATCTAGACTTTAGTTTATCACACCCAGCCTTCACCTTCAAATAATGTAGCACTTTATGTGTACTATAAAGCCTACAACAGTATTCCTCCACTCCCCCTCCCATCTTTTGTGCTTCTACATGTAACCTGCAATACATTGTTTCTATTCTTGCTTTAAACAATTACATTGTAAAGAAATTAAAAACAAGCAGAAAACTCTCTTAAATTTGCCCACATATTTACCTGCCTGGTGTTTTTCACTCCTTTTTTATTCCTTTTTGTGAATCTTTTGTCTTTTTCCTTTCTCTTGAAGAATTTATTTTAACATTTCTTAAAGTGTAGGTCAGCTCAACTGGCAATGGATTTTCTCGGGTTTTGTGTGTCTAAGGATGTCTTCATTTTGCCTTCATGTTTGAAGGATGTTTTAATTGAATATAGACCTCTAGGTTGTCATTTCTTCTTCTTTTGACATTTTATATGTCATTCTGTTGTCTTCCAGTTTGCACTGTTTTTCTATGAGAAACCTGGAGTCATTTTGTGTTTGTTTACTTTCGTGTAATGTGTCTTCCACACATCTTGTTGCTGCTAAAGGTTTTCTTTATGTTTGTTTTTAAGTAGTTTGCTGTGACATGCCTGGATGTGGGTTACTTTGGCTGTTTCCATTTGTAGTTTCCTGAAATTCTTGGATCTCTGACTTTAGGTTTACAAAATTGGACCATTTTCAGTTGCTATTACTTCAATTATTAGATGTCTTTTTCCTCTCTCTTCTCCCCTTTCCCCTTCTCTCCTCTTTCTAACTTTTCCATTTGGTGTTCCAATTACTAGTAGGTTAGACCATTTAATAAGGTCCCACAGATTTTTGAGGCTCTGTCTTATCTTTTCTCTCTGAGAGATTCTTAGCTTGGATAAATAAAGATATTTAGCCTGGATAATAACTATTAAACAAATCTCTCTTCTATTGTTTGATCATCTGTTAATACTATTCAATAAATTTTTCATTTCAGATGTTGCATTTTTCCATTGTAGAAATTCCTTGTGTTGCTTTTTGTTGTTGTTGAGAACTTTCATATCTCTCTCTAATTCTGTCACATCGTTCATTATTTCCATTTTTTTTCTGTAGATTCCTTAGCATGTTATTTATAGTTCTTATTTGCTAATTAAAGAGCTGATTTATTGTGAGTTTTTTTTCTCTTGGCTTTGTTTTTCTAGACTATGAGTTACATTTTTATGCTTTTTTTCCTATTGTACTTTTTAATTGTACAGTAGACATTGTATAGATGGTGGGTTTTGTTTTTCTTCTTCTGAAGAGTGTTGGGTTTTGTTCTAACAGGCAATTATGTTGCTGACTGATCACATTGATCATGTTAAGCCTTGTCATAGGCTTTGTTAGTGAAGTCTCTTTCAGTTGTGCTTTCACTATTGGGGAGCATTTCTGATTCCTAGGCTGTGATGTTTAGTCCTAAACTGTGACCCATGTAGGACTTCAGAAGAAAGCCTGAGGTGTTTACCCAAGACTCTTTAACTTACAGACTTAAAACTCAAGCTCTGTCTATCTTACCATTATGGACTCTTGACAGCTCTGCTTAGTTCCTCCCAATTCCCATTGTCTCCCTGTTGGAATATTTGTATTCCCTCTATATTCTGCAGCTCAGTGGTCAACCTTTTGAGGGATGCAAATTTTGGACTCCCTCCTTTCTGGAATTTTCTAACTCACTTTCCAGGCAACTTGCCTGCACCAGTCTCCAATTTACCTGTCCCCCCAGTAAGACTGTTACTTCCTTCTTGAGTTCTGTCTTCTTTGTGTAGTGATGACACTGGGGCCTGTCCTTGGGAAAGCTGGTTACATGTGCATCTCACCTAGTAGGTCACCTGCCCTCACCCTCACGTGTCTTGTTCCAGCCAGTGTCTGTCTGCCTCTGGTTGTACTCTGTGGCTTTGAAAGGGTTGCTTATCATTGTTATCAGCAGGGGGTAACTTTGACATAAACTACTCTGCCATCACTGGGACCTGAAACTTTATCTATACTTTTGTATTTTTTTTTAAACTGACATTTTAATGTAAAAATTTTTCACGTTAATAAAATTTATTATAAATAGATTCAGTGACCTTAAACTTTCCATTTTGTGAGTGAATATGCCATAGTTTACTTGGATATTTTCCTGTTTTTGGAAATCAAGTATTTTAACATTATAAATAGTGCCAGACTCATTGTATGAAGAGGATAAGAAATTTGTGTTTTGAGGGTCTAGACACAACTTTCTTTTCTACAAATTTTACTTAATCACGTGTATGTTAGATAAAGTGTAATAATCATAAAATCTTTCATTTCTTTGATAAATATTGCTTATCCTTTCAAGTGTGCCTATATCGTTTTTATTTTTTAATTTGCTATCGTTTTTGTTTCTATTTTCCTTTAGAAAAGAGAAAAGATTCGTTCCTTGACTATGTGTGGCCATGTTGGCTTTGAGAGTTTGCCTGATCAGTTGGTCAACAGGTCCATTCAGCAAGGTTTCCGCTTTAATATTCTCTGTGTGGGTAAGTGCCACTTCTTCTTTTTCTAAGTTGTCCCTTCATATTCCTTGTGTTCACTCTTTGTTGTCGTAATCTGTGATGCTTGTGTTATTCATTGGAAGTCATGATCCCGGACTTTTACAATCTGGACTGTTGGTTTTGTTTTTCTTAGCTTTAAACCTTGTGTTTGTTCTTAAACATTTCAGTGCTCTTTTCAGAGTCCTGAGTAACTTAGCATGCACGGTCACTTCTCTGCTCTGCTGATGAGCCTTAGCTTGTCTACCTTCCTTCCTTCCTTCCATCCTTCCTTCCTTCCTTCCTTCCTCCCTTCCTTCCTTCCTCCCTCCCTCCCTCCCTCCCTCCCTTCCTTCCTTCTTTCCCACTCTGTCACCTAGGCTGGAGTACAGTGGCACGCTCATGGCCACTGCAGCCTCGACCTGCTGGACTCAGGCCATCCATCTGCTTCAGACTTCCAAGTAACTGAAACTAGAGGAGTGAGCCACCATGCCTAGCGAACTTTTTGATTTATTGTAGAGATGTGGGCTCAGGCAGTCCTCTCACTTCTGCCTCCCCAAGTGATGGGATTACAGGTGTGAGCCACCATACCCGACAGCATGTATTTCTTTCATGGACAACTTGACCTTTGAAATATTGGGGATCCTTGAAACCACTCTAAAGTTTTACAGTTATATTTCTTCATAGCCATCTCATGCAACCATGAAGACAAAAAGACATACCTTTGTTTCTTTCAGGGGAGACTGGAATTGGAAAATCAACACTGATTAACACATTGTTTAATACTAGTTTTGAAGACTGTGAATCCTCACATTTTTACCCACATGTTAAACTTAAAGCTCAGACATATGAACTTCAGGAGAGTAATGTTCAATTGAAATTGACTGTTGTGAGTACTGTGGGATTTGGTGACCAAACAAATAAAGAAGAGAGGTATGTGTTTTCTCCTTGTAGCAAAACAGTTTTTCTTATTTTAAGACATTTGCCTCCTAGCCTTATGAACTCTGATCTGATTTTTCTCCTATAATAATTTATACCTTTCCTCCCAGACATTAATTTTTTTAGTAATTAAACAATGTTTTCCTTGTTTGCAAATTAACATTTTTCTATTCATTTGTCTAATTTCTTTAGAATAATTTAAACCACATTATTAAAATATGCATTTCAGCAAAAAGTTCTCATTGTTTTCTGCTATGCAGATTTATTATATATTAAGTGATTGGTACTAATCTTGGACTTACCTTGTTGAGGAAAAAAATACAAGACATACAAGTACAACTATATACAGTGGTCAGATACATGATGCATGAATTTTTTGTGAAATTTTAATCAAAATAGCCACTTACATTAAGCATTACAGGAAAGTTTGGATAGTGAAATTTTAATTTATATTTTACCTTATGTTATTATTTCCTAATATTTCCCTTAAGGCATTATAAAGATTGATTATAGAATCTGTATGAGATTTAAACTATGAAAGGAAAAAAATAGATGGGGTAAAGGAGTAATTTTTTGTCATTTTCTTTTTGAAATGTATATACTTTCATTATTATAAGTAATTTTTTAGAGGGAAAGTATTTTGCACAAATTCACTGTGTGACATGTGTTAAAGCATAGCTTTTTCAGCACTGTGGTCTGCCTTAAATACATTTTTTTAATTAGTTAATTTTTTAATATATATTTTTAGAGAGAGGGCTTCACTCTGTCACCAAGGCTGGAGTGCATTGTTGGACTCACAGCTTATTGTAGCCTCCACCTCCTGGGCACACTCGATCTTTCCACCTCAGCTTCACAAGTAGCTGGGACTACAGGTAGCACCACTACACCACATTAATTTTTATTTTTTGTTATTATTTTATTTTGTAGAGGTGAGGTCTCAGTGTGTTGCCCAGGTTGGTCTTGAACTCCTGGCCTCAAGCAGTTCTCTCACCTTAACCTCCGAAAGAACTGGAATTATAGGCGTGAGCCACCACTCCTGGCCTGCCTTAAATATAAAGAAATGTCTTATGTGAATCTTCTGGAATGAGTAATTAGTGGCAATGCCCTGTGACATTTTGGCTTAAATGTTATCATCATTATTATTATTTGAGTTTGATTCGCACCCTGTTACTCAGGCTACTATGTAATCCTTCTGCCTCAGTCTTCCAAGTAGCTGGGACTACAGGCCTGGCTAATTTTTTGATTTATTGTAGAGATGAACTCTCACTGTGTTGCCCAGGCTGGTCTCGAACTCATGGGCTCAGGTAATCCTCTCACCTTGGCCTTTCAAAGTGCTGGGATTATAGGCATGAGCCACCCTGCCTGGTCCTTATTTATAAGGTACATATTAATTTAGAACTGATTAGTGTATATAAATGGAAATATTTTTAAATGAACTTAAACAGGGTGAATATACCTGACTTGCTGAATGAATTTTATTGTATGACACACAATAGGTATAACACAATAGTTACCCACAGTAGGTATAACTTTACATGTGAATTTATTCCTAAAATAAAGTATAATTTGTTTTTTCCCATTAATTTATTTGTTGGATTGTTTTCTACCAGTTACCAAAGCAATACATAGATATAAAATATCAGATAGCTTAGATCAGGCAGGGTGTGATGACTCATGCCTATAATCCCAGGACTTTGGGAAGCTGAGGCAAGAGGATTGATTGAGCCCAGGAGTTCCAGACCAGCCTAGGCAATATAGCCAGACCTCGTCTCTACAAAAAAATTTTTAAAAAGCCCGGAGTGGTAGCGTGTGCCTGTAGTCTCAGCTATACAGGAGGCTGAGGAGGGAGGATCACTCAGGCCCTGGAGGTCCAGGCTGCACTCCAGCTTGGGCAACAGAGTGAGACCTTAACTCAAAAAAAATAGCATAGATCAATTGGAACCCATGCTAGCTTTCTTGGGTTCAGTCTCATTTCTTTCCCCATAGGAGTTACTGCTGTGAATTAGGTTTTTTCCCCCCAGACCCTTTTTCAGTTCTTTTATTTCTTTCTTTTAAAATAAGGTTTAGTAGTGCATAATTTACATAGAATAAATGTACTGATTATAAGTGTACATGCAAAAAGAATTTTGACCAGCATATAGTTTTGCAGCCACCGCCATGACTGATACAGGAAATGGCCGTGGTCTTGAGTGCTTTGCTCCTTGCGTGTTTGAATTAGTGTTTAGCTAGAGCTTCGGGGGGAGCCCTTTCCAGGCTATGTGCTTCCTGCCTGTGCAGCTCCGTCTCCTTGATGCTGTGTCCCAGACGCCAGTGGCCTTGGCCTCCCTGCACTCCTCTGAGTCTCCTTGACTCTGAGCCTGGTCCACCGGGCTCTGCTCTGGGTGCTGTGTCCAGGGATCTCCTCTCCAGGCAAAGAGCCAGGAAGGCCAGAGGCTGCTCAGTAAAGTTCCTTCTCAGCAGTCACAGCTTATACTGCCTGGTGTCCAATGTTTTTGAAAACTTTTTTTTCATCTTTTTAAAATCAGGTTCCTAGTTATTTAAGGTGGGAGGGCAAATCCAGTCCCAGTTAGTCCATTATGATGGCTGGAGACAGAAGGATTTGGTTTTTTTCCTTTCACTGTTAATGTTGACTGTACTGGGTAGGACCTGCTTCTTTTGTTGGAAAGAATGGTGATCGTGGCACATTTGCTTTGCCTGGATCTCAAAGAGAAAGCTATTTTTTACCATAAGCTTTAGGAAAAACTCTCACTGGGTTTTTCCCTCTGCTCTCACACAATAGCAATCATCAACACAGAAGAAGACTTCTGAAACCAAACACGGGGGTTTCTCCCCACTACCAAGTCTCAGACACCAGCTAGGTGTCCTCCATTCAATTCCAACACTGACTACCTGGAGACAATGTCAGATTCCACAGGGTAGGGTCTCAGTCCCACAAGACTACCCACCCCCCTCCCCCCCACTAGTCACAAGTCCCGGCCTCCAGAATTTCTGACTGACCAGCTTCAAGTTGGGCTTCCTACGACTAGTCTTGGAGTTTGATTAATTGTCAGGAGTGGCTCACAGAACTCAGGGAAACATTTGACTCATGCTTACCAATTTTTTTTAAAGAAGTGAGATATAAAATAATTCAGGGTTAGATATACAAATATTCATTATGCGGGTACCCTGATTAATGAGGTGCACCCCCCTTCCCTGGCAGATTTCCCCCTACTACCAATCCTTTTCTTAACAGTATTACGATAATTGTTCAAGGTCCGCTTATGAATGAGACCACGTGATGCTCAGTTCTTTGTTTCTGTGATAGATCATCACTCAGTATTATAGACTCTTAAGTTCATCCAAGTTGCTGCGAAGTTCATAATTTTGTCCTTCTTTATGGCTGCATAATATTCCATCTTGTATATGTACCACACTTTTTTTAAATCCCATCCTCTTTTGATGTGCAGCGCGGTTGGTTCCATGTTTTTGCTACTGTGAACAATGCTGCAATCAACATGCATGCACAGGCATCTTTTTCATAGAGTGATTTGAGTTCCTCTGGGTATATTTCCGGTAGGGGGATTGTGGGTTGAATGGAAGGTCGATTTTTAGATCTTTTAGGAATCGCCAAACTGTTTTCCACAGAGGCTGTATTAGTTTCCACCAACAGTGTAGAAGTTTTCCATTTTCCCCGCATCCTCTCCAGCATCTGTTGTTTTTTGAGTTATTGATGATGGCCATTCTGACTGGAGTTAGGTGACCGGTTTATTCTAAAGGACGTTGCAAAGGATACAGGTGAAGAGGTGTAGGGGGAGGGGCACAGAGCTCCCATGCCTCCTGGGTGCCTCCCTCCCGGAACCTCCACTTGTTCAGTTATCCAGAAGCTCCCCAAACTCTGTCCTCGTGGGTCTTGGGGAAGCTTCACGACATCAGCATTCCCTCCCCCAAGTTGTAGGGTGGGAGCTTTCTGGAGAGGGTCCTAAGACCCATAATCAGAAGGCCAGCAAAGATCAGAGTTCTGTCTTGGGGCCAGCGAAAGGAGGGCAGGGGAAGGTCTGAGAGATTGTTTCTGAGGCCGCCCCCAGACCTGACACATCAGCGATGCAGTGAAAGATTGTGGCAAGGGCTGTGGCGCTGTGAGGCAGGAACGGTGGACGAAAGCCGTTACAGCATAACACCACACCGTGCATGGATGCTTGCTTGGCTTTTGGTTGGTTGGTTTGTTTTTGGTTTCATTGTTGTAGACAGAATAGAGTTCCTTTAGATTTCCAGTAAAAAGTTCTTTTTTTTGGAAATCACTGATGATACAGAATGTTGTAGGTGAGGGTTCTGGGAATGGGGAGCTTGCATTTCTCATGTTTGATTTGAAGTTATCTATCAAATGTATCAAGGTAGTTTCTTTGATTATTGTAACTTCACCCCCCCCCAAGGAACCCCAGCATGATGCCCATAGGCCTAGTGAATGCTTTGGCTCATTCCTACAGTGAATTTTAGAGTGGCCAGCAAAGTTTTAAAACAGGGCTTATTAGCGAGAAGAAGAGAAGCAAAAGGAAGATTAATGGCAGAAAGACCCACCATGGGCGAGTTTCTCAAAAAAGAAAAACGGAACTCTTGATCTCAACCACCAGCTCAGGATAGAGTTAGCTGGTTATTGATATGATAATGAGGTGGAGCAAAGGTACTGCTGCCCTCTCTGCCTCTAATGGGAGGAGGGGTGGCTTTATTAATCATTTCTGTGGATGGGTTGTCCCTTCTGCCTTCAGTGGGAACCTGAAAGATTTTCGGTGATTATGAGCTGAAAGTTTGGTCTGTCCTATTCTTACATCTGATGAGATTTTATTTTGATTGGCTGAGGGGGCAGCGTAGGCTGCTAACTTGGCCTGCAGAAAATGTAATTTTAAAAATTTCTGAATGCTTCCTAAAGCTGACCTGTGCGAAATGTATCTATTTATGTCTAAGCTGTGCTAGCTACCCTGCCTCACTCCTGCTTTTGAGCAGGTTTTTGGTAATGATGCCACTTACTGCCCTGTAACCTGGTTGCAGAAATAAACTCTTTTCTCCCAGTTTCTGCCTTTCATCTTCCATGGACTGTGAGGGAAGCAGCCGTACTGGTTTATCTGGGAACAATACTTTTAACATATTTTTTGGGGGGGGGATCTTATGGAGAAATTGTGATTCCCTGACTTTCTTCAATAAGGTGAATTATAGTAACAGATTTTCTTTTTTTCTTTTCTTTTTTTTTTTTTTTTGAGTAGGAGTCTCACTCTATTGCTCAGGCTAGAGTACGGCGGCATGCTCACAGCCACTGCAGCCTCTACCTGCTGGGCTCAGGCAATCCTGCCTCATCCTTCCAAGTAGCTAGAACTACAGGTGTGCCTCCAAACCAGGCTATTTTTTTTTTTAACTTTATTGTAGAAGCCCAGGCTGATCTTTAACTACTGGGCTCAGGCAGTCCTCTCACCTCTGCCTCCCAGAGTGGTGTGTGCCCGGCTTATAGTAACTGATTTTTTGCTGGTAAATTAACTCAAAATTATAAATTCTATTCTAAGATCATAATATAGTATTCTTTTTATATTATGCTTTGCTTGTTTTTTTTCTTTTAGTTGTGTTCATAAATAAGATTTTTACCTGTATTTTCCTTTTATACTGTTCTGTCTTTTCTTAAAATCAAGTTTGTGTTAGTCTTCTAAAATTATTTAAGAGAGTTTTCATTCTTCTCTTTTCTGGAAAGCTTTGTATAAGATTAGAATTATTTTTCCTTGAACTGTTTGATAGAACTAACTAATAACCATCAGGGCCTGGAGTTTTCTGTCTAAAAAGATTTTGAGGTTTTGAGTTACTAGATTTTTAAAAACTGTTATAGAGCAATTTCGAGTTGATTCTTTGATACATTATAATTGTCCAGGAATCTGTCTGTTTCATCTAATTTTCAAATTGTTTGCTTAAAAATATTGGTAATACACTTCTAATGTCTTTCAGTCTCCAGACCACCTGTTATGCTATTTTGCCTTTCCTAATATTGGTTATTTGTGCTGTTTTGCTTTTTCTGCTTGGCCAGTCTTGACAAAGCATTGTCTATTTATTTGGTCTTTTCAGAAACCCAATTCTGGCTTTATTTATGCTTTCATTTTTATGATTTCTGTTTTTCTTATTTTATTACATCTTGCTCTTATGCCCATAATTTTCTTTTTGGGGGTTTTGCTCTAACTTCATTGATTTTTCAGCCTTATGCATTTAAGAATGTAAATTACCCAGGAAGCATAGCTTTAGCTACCTCTGGCAAGTTTTGATCTCTAGTACTTTCAATTTTACATCTCCATTTTTTTTCTACGACTTTGCCCAGGCTAGAGCTCAGTGACACAATCACTGCTCGCCAAGGCCTAGACCACTTGAGCTCGGGTGATCCCCCTCAGCCTTCTGACCGTTGGGACTACAGGCGCAAGCCACCATGCCTGGCTGGTTTTTTGATTTTTTGTTAGAGATGGGATCTTGCTATGTTGCTCAAACTCCTGGGCCCAAGCAGTCTTCCTACTTTGGCTTCCCCAAGTGCTGGGATTATGGACGTGAGCCACTGCACCTGGACCACATCTCCATTTTTATTTCATCCTGAAGAACTGACACTTGATTATTTATCCTGTTATGCTTCTGTGTTAAAGTCTGTGCTATTTGGTAGTATAGATACATCAGCTTTCTTATGCATGTTTACTGTATTTTTTTCTATCCTTTACTCTCTTTTTTTTTTTTTTTTTTTTTTGAGTAGGGAATCTCACTCTGTTGCCCAGAGTAGAGTACAGTGGCATGCATATGGCCACCGCAGCCTCTACCTCCTGGGCTCAGGTTATCCTTCTGCCTCTGCCTTCCTAATAACTGGAACTACAGGCGCACACCACCATGCCTGGCTAATTTTCTGATTTATTGTAGAGACATGGTCTCGCCAAGTTGCCCAGCCTGTTCTTGAACCCCTGGTCTCCGGCAATCCTCTTGCCTCTTCTTCCCAAAATGCTGGGATTACAGGCACAAGTCTCTGTGCCCAGCAAAGGCATTTGGTAGCTTTTTAAAAAATTTTTTTATTTTTTAAAATTTTTTTAGAAGCAGGGTCTCACTCTGTTGCCCAGGCTGGAGTGCAGTGGTGTGATCATAGCTCACTACAGCTTTGACTTTCTGGGTCCAAGTGATCCTCCTGCCTCAGCCTCCCAAGTAACTGGAACTACAGGCATGTGCCACCATGCCTGGCTAATTTTCTGATAATTTGTCTTGCTGTGTTGCCCAGGCTAGTCTCAAACTCTTGGGCTCAGGCAGTCCTCTTCCTTAGCTTCCCAAAGCGCTGAGATTACAAGTGTGAGCCTCCGCTCTCACCACTATCCTTTACTTTCAACCTTTCTGTGTACTTGTGCCTTAAGATGTGTTTGTTGTTGAGCATAATGTTTTCTTTTTGAAAGCTGTCTGACAGTGCTTATCCTCTAACTGAGCATTTAGTCCAGTCACCATTAAGGTAGTCACGTTTAGGTTTAAATCTACCACCCTATTTTGTGTTTCCTTGTTTGTCCTGCCAGTTGTATTTCTTTTTCTTTTCTTGCCTGATTTCTGTTCTCATAGTTGTTATCCTACAAATTATAGCATATAATATTTCACTTAATCTAAGTTTAAGATCAGTGTTCATACTTCTCATTGATAATATAAATATTTGACAATGAAATGGAATTTAACAGTTAAATAAGTAGGAGAGGGAAACCAAAGGTATTCTGTAAGTTTAAGAGAGGTGATGGAAAAGACTAGAAGGGTCAGGCAACTTTCTAGAAATCGATTTGTTGAGTACCTCAGCAGTACAGGGAACTGGTCCATTGTAAGGATGCAAGGATAGTTACAAAGGTGTCCAGGGAATTTGCCATGGGAACTATTTGCTGTTGTTTTCACTTGGAAACCCAGATTGGTTTAATGAGAATAGTCAAGAGTAGAAAGATAAGCTGAAAGGTAATGATACAGCATATCAGAATGAAGTGGAATCTCACATGCTAATAGTGAAACGTATTGGCAAACACGCACTGACATGCACTGACTTGATGTACATCTTGAAGGAAGGATGGTGGCGTTCTGGGGAGGAGTTACTGAGCCAGGACACTGAGCAGAGAATACAATTGGCCTTTCCTGTGTTGATAACTAAGTGAAAATAAAGCCATGCAGCATTGCTAGTTAGATACTTTCACCTGTTGTGTGCCTTTCCTCTGTACTACGTTAGTGCTTTTCATGCCTACACATCTGTTTTAAGAGCCAAGGAGTCAGGAATTTGACTTACATAGCTTTTTGGGGGGGCAGGGGTTGGAGTCTCACTCTGTTGCCCGGACTGGAGTGCAATGGCACGCTCACAGCTACCTCAGCCCCAACCTGCTGGGCTCAGGCAATCCTTCTGCCTCAGCCTTCCAAGTAGCTGGGACTACAGATGTGTACTACCATGCCAGGGTTAATTTTTATTATTTTATTGTAGAGATGAGATCTCACCATGTTGCCCAGTCTGGTCTCAAATCCCTGGGTTCAGGAAACCCTCTGTACCTAGCTTAAATGTCTCTTAAATTATTGATTCCCATGCCTTCTCTCGATTAGTTAAATAATAAATCATGTACTAGTTTGGTTACAAATTAGACTGCTAGCCTCTTTGAGCAGTCTAGCATGTGTGTGGATCTTTGCCAGAAAGGGATCCCGCATGTGCATAAATGTGGGAAAGAGTCAATGTGAACTCAGTATTTTTTCAAGCACAGGTTGTCCTGATGGTTTTGGGAGTACAGGTGATACCCAGCATGTGAATTTTCAACTTTACAATGGGTTTATTTGGACATAACTTCGTCTTAAGTCAAAGAGCATCTGGATTTAGAATGGTTCAACTTAACAATGTTTTGACCTTACAGTGAGTTTATTGAGGCATTAAATGCATTTTCTTTTCTTTTTCTTTCCCTTTCCTTTTACTTTTCTTGAGACAGGATCTCACTATGCCACCCAGGCTGGAGTGTAGTGACGTGATCATAGTGCACTGCTGCCTCAAACTCCTGGGTTCAAGCACTCCTCTCTCCTCAGCCTCCCAAGTAACTAGGGCTAATAGCATGTACCACCATGCCTGCTTAAGTCTTTTGTTTGTTTTTTGTTTTTTCTGAGTCGGAGTCTCATTCTGTCACCCAGGCTGGAGTGCAGTGGCATGCTCATGGCCACTGTAGCCTCGACCTGCTGGGCTCAGGCAGTCCTTCTGCCTCAGCCTTCCAAGTAGCTGGAACCACAGGTGTGTGCCACCATGCCCAGCTGATTTTTTGATTTATTGTAGCGATGAGGTCTCACCAAGTTGTCCAGGCTGGTCTTGAACCCCCTGGACTCAGGCAATCCTCTCGCCTCGGCCTCTCAAAGTGCTGAGATTACAAGTGTGAGTCATCGCGCCTGGCCTAAGTTTTTAAAAATTATTTTTTGTAGAAACAGGGTCTCACTGTGTTGACCAGGCCTCCCAAAGTTCTGGGGTTACAGATGTGAGCTAGTACAGTGCCCAGCCATTAAATGTATTTTTGACTAAATGATATTTTAACTTAGAATGGGTTCATTGACATATAACCTTATTGTAAATTACAAAATGTCTGTATTACTTGTGTGTATGCATGTTCTACTCATTGTTTTGTCCCTAAAGTTATCTGTTTAGCATAGGTATTAGCTGTTTATTAATTGGTGAAAATTCATATCTCAAACTTTAGGAGTTGTACAAGTATCTTTATAAGGTAGCACAGAAAAGTTGTATTAAATATTTAAATGTATTTTCAGCTACCAACCAATAGTTGATTACATAGATGCTCAGTTTGAGGCCTATCTCCAGGAGGAGCTGAAGATTGAGCGTTCTCTCTTTAACTACCTTGATTCTCGCATCCATGTGTGCCTCTACTTCATCTCACCCACGGGCCATTCTCTGAAGATACTTGATCTCCTGACCATGAAGAACCTTGACAGCAAGGTGTGTTGTGGAAAGGAACTAACTTGTCATACTCTAACACTTGTTTTGAGACTGGTGCGGTGGCTTACACCTATAATTCCAGCACTTTTTTTTGGAGGTCCGGGTTGAGAGGCTAACTTGAGCCCAGGAGTTTGAGACCACCCTGGGCAACATGTGAGACCTTGTCTCTACAAAAAAATTTTTAAAAAAAATTAGCTGGATGTGGTGGTTTGTGCCTGGGGTCCCAGCTACTCAGGAGGATCGCTTGAGGCCAAGGTGTCAAGGCTGCAGTGAGCCGGGATTGGGACACTGCACTCCAACTTGGGAAACAGGGTGAGACCCCCCCCACCTTTATTA